TGAGCCTGAGATAAAGGCGGCGGCAGCACCAGCGTCTGTGCCCACTGTGTAAAACACCACCAGAGGAGACGGGAAACCACCCAGAGTACAATCACTCGTCAGTGCGGGGCAGCTAGGGATGGGTACTAGGGACGCTGGGTACACTGAACCACCTGGGGAAGCTGCCTCTGGCAGCTCAGGCTAGTGGAGACAATCTGAACAGAACCTGTGTATCTTCAGAGTCTCGAGTATTTCTGTTTTGTGAAAATCAGGATCTGGGGTAGCCGAGGGTGGGTGGCCTCAAGCTCACTATGTAGCCACGGCTAGTTTTGAACTCCTGATAGATCCTCCTGTCTCCATCTGCCAAGTACTGATCACAGCGTGCACCACCACACCCAGAAGAAGGAAACACAATGTAGTGAACACCCAGTGTTCAGAGTTCACGGTACGAGGGACAGGACCAATCACACCAAGAGTTGGGAGCACCCGGCATCTGACAACTCTGAAAATGTACCCCGAGTTTACTCATAGCAATCCAAACCCAGGGCCATTAAAAACACTGCCTCTACTGGGCAGTGGGCATTCAAGAACTCTGTGAGTTCAAGGTCAGCCTGGTCCATAAATCAAGTTCTAGGGCCGAGTGGTGGTGGTGCATGCCTTTAATCCCAGTACTCGGGAGACAGAGACAGGAGGATCTCTGTGAGTTTGAGGCCAGCACGTTCTGCAAGAACCAGTTCCAGGACAGGCTCCAAAGCTACAGAGAAACCCTGTCTCAGCCGGGCGGTGGTGGTGGCGCACGCCTTTAATCCCTAATCCCAGCACTCGGGAGGCAGAGGTAGGCGGATCTCTGTGAGTTCGAGACCAGCCTGGTCTACAAGTGCTAGTTCCAGGACAGGCTCCAAAACCACAGAGAAACCCTGTCTCGAAAAACCAAAAAAAAAAAAAAAAAAAAAAAAAAAAGCAAGTTCCAGGACAGATAGGGCTGCTACACACTGAAACCCTGTCTTGCCCCCTCTTCACACACACACGGACGCACACACAACCACACACATACACAAAAAAATTGTTTCATAGCTTTCCAAAATACAAGGACAAAGAATGATGGGGGAGGGACGTGGTGGCCTATGCCTATAATCCCAGTACTCCAGTACTTAGGAGGCAGAAACAGGACTGCTCAAATCTAAGGCCAGTCTGAGTTACATAGAAAATTTCAGGCCAGTCTAGGCTACCATGTGAGCCTCTGTCTTAACACAAAACACGGGCTCAGCAAGAAAGTTCTGCTTGACGCTGGAGAGATGGCTCAATAGTTAAGAGCTTTTACTGCTCTCGCAGAAGACCAGGGTCTGGTTCCTAGCACCCACATGGTGGCTCATGACCATATGTGACTCCAATTCCAGATGCTAATATTCTCTTGTGGCCTCACTGGGGTGCACAGTCACAGAGGCAAACACCGCACACATAAATAAATGACTCGGCAGCTGAAGGGGCTTGCCTACCAGGACTCGATGACCTGAACTGAATTCCCAGAATTCATATGGTGGAAGGAGAGAACTGACTCCTGCAAACTGTCCTCTGACTGCCCCCGACACACACACACACACACACACACACACATACACACACTCACACAGGAATAAATACATCTAATAAAAACCAGAGTTGGTGAGATGGCTCAGCCAGTTAAGGTACTTGCTGCCAAGCCTGAGCCCCGGTGGGTAAGGGGGAGACTCCCACAGTTTTCCCTTGAACTCCGCGGGTGCTCTGTAACTTATGGTAACTTATGTGTGTCCCACACCCCAAGATAAATGAATGATAAGAAACAAACAGGTACAAACACCAGCAGCGAAGACATGAGACTCTTGTAGGTTTTAAAGCATGCAGTGAGATGAGCCACTGTCTTAGACTACACACACCACAATGAAATGGTTTTCCCTCCCTTCACTATCAGGGGTGTTGCTGAGAAGTGGGACCAACTGTGAACACAGCCTGCATGATCAGGCTTCTTTCCCGATCTGGGAGCTGCCAGGCAAGTGTGGGGAACTGAACTCCAGTCCTTTGCAAAAGCAGTCAGTGTTCTTAACTGTTGAGCCATCTCCCCAGCTCCTATTTTTATGATTTTAAAATCTGTGTGTGTGCCTGTGTATGGATTTGCACACCTGAGATGTACAGATTGGTATCTGTACATTTAAAAGATTGACACTGAATATACTAATATAGAAATGTACGTTCCAGAATCTTTTGCAGGTAGAGAAGGCTGTGGAGATGTGATGGGGGTGGGTGTGTGGGTGGGAGGAGGACCTGCTGTGATCATGTGGACATGCTCTACAGTTGCTGTGCTGAGGCAGGAACCCAGGAACTGAGCCAGGTAAAGCGCACTCTCACTGAGTTTTGTGTCTGACTGAGAAAATGAGGAGGAGAAGAAAGGTAAAAAGCCTGCTAAAGAGAGGACAAGAGCTGAGGATCACATCAAAGTGTTTCAGGAACAATCTCTGTATGGCTTTACCAACTGTGCAGGCTCAGGTACCGGTCAAAGGAGAGTGCTGCTGACCACCCCCATGCCTCCCTCCAGGCAGGGCCAGCGACCACTTCTGAGAGGCAGAGTCTCTGAGCGTCCAGGTGGCTCACAAGCAGCAACCACGTTCATCCAGCTGAAACGTGATGGCGTGGTTGCCAGCTGATGATCCTGAAGGTTCTGCTCTGCCCAATGGATTAACCTTTGATGGATTCATAATCTGATGGGATCACTGGGAGTCTCAGGACAGTACTCGGGGAAGATACCGCTTGTCTCCCAGTAACTCCATGGTACGGCGAATTTATAATTATCCCATTTCACTCACGAAAATGAAGTCCGCAGCATGACTCTACTGGCTGCATGTCATACATCTCATAAAGTCTAGATTCAAATTCAAGAATTGAAAAATACACATACCGCATTTATTTGTGTGTTTATGTGTATGTACAAGTGCATTTATTTGTATGTGTTTATATATGTGTGTGTACAAGTGCATTTATTTGTATGTTTATATATGTGTGTGTACAAGTGCATTTATTTGTATGTGTTTATACATGTGTGTACAAGTGCATTTATTTGTATGTTTATATATGTGTGTGTACAAGTGCATTTATTTGTATGTTTATACATGTGTGTGTACAAGTGCATTTATTTGTATGTTTATATATGTGTGTGTACAAGTGCATTTATTTGTATGTTTATACATGTGTGTGTGTATACAAGTGCATCCTTGTAGTACTTTTATGTCAACTCAACACAAGCTGGAGTCATCTGGGAAGTGGGCGCCTCACTTGAGGAACTGCCTCTGTCAGATGCCTGTGGCATGTCTGTGGGACATTTTCTTAATTGTTAAATTATGTAGAAGGGCCCAGCCCACTGTGGGGGATGCCATCCCTGGGCATGTGGTTCTGGGCATATAGGAAACTAGCTAAAAAACCTTTAATCCCAGAACCCTGGTGGCAGAAGCAAGTGGATCTCTATGAGTTTGAGGCCAGCCTGGTCTCCATAGTCAGTTCCAGGACAGCAAGAGCTATGTAGTGAGACCATGTCTCAAAACAAACAAACAAAGAAAAAATAAAAAGAAAGAAAGGAAGGGAAGAAGGGATGGAGGAAGCTGAGTAGGCCATGGGGAGCACGCCAATAAGCAGCATTCCTCCATGGCCTCTGCACTGATTCCAGTTTCCAGGTTTCTGCTTTGAATTATAACATTGACTTCCCTCAGGGACGGACATGACAGGGAAAGGTGAGCTGAATAAACCGTTTCCTCCTCAGGCTGCCTTTGGTCCTGGTGTCATCTCAGCAACAGTTGGTAAGTCAGTACTGTGTGTCAACATCAGGGGGTGACTTTGTGAGGCAGTTCTCTCCTTCTATGCTGTGGTTGTCAGGCTGACCCATCTCACTGGCCCCAAACCCCAGGATCCTAGGGTCTTCACTCTATACTGCAATGCCCCACTGGCTGGGAGACTCTCCTTAAGAAGGAAAAACAGCCAGGTGTGGGGGAAACTCCACCCAATGGGGGGCATGTTCGCCTCAGGCTAATGTTTACATATAAATCTGGTGACATGAGCCCCACCACTCTTTTTTTTTTTTTGTATCTCCTGCTCATCACTGGATCTCTGGTGTTGTAAGCTATTCCTTCATTAAAATTTGCTGTTTCATATTAAGCTAGCCTGGTTATTACGCCGACTACATTTTGAAATGGTATGTGAATGATTTCTTATTAATAAAGAAACTGCCTAGGCCCATTTGATAGGCCAACCCTTAGGTAGGCAGAGAAAACAAAACAGAATGCTGGGAGAAAAAAGCCGAATCAAAATCGCCATGATTCTTCCACTCCAGACAGACGCAGATTAAGATCTTCCCTGGTACGCCACCTCATGGGCTACACAGATTATTAAAAATGGATTAGATCAATATATAAAAGCTAGCCAAGCCGGGCGATGGTGGCGCACGCCTTTAATCCCAGCACTCGGGAGGCAGAGGCAGGCGGATCTCTGTGAGTTCGAGACCAGCCTGGTCTACAAGAGCTAGTTCCAGGACAGGCTCCAAAGCCACAGAGAAACCCTGTCTCGAAAAACCAAAAAAAAAAAAAAAAAAAAAAAGCTAGCCAATAAGAGGCTAAAACTAATGGGCCAAACAATATTTTAAAAAAATACAATTTCTATATAATTATTTCGGATAAAGCTAGCCAGATGGCAAAAAGCAGTCCGCTGCCCTTATCTCAACAGCCGGGCGGTGGTGGTGCACGCCTTTAAGCCCAGCGCTCGGGAAGCAGAGGCAGGTGGATCTCTGTGAGTTCAAGGCCAACCTGGTCTACAGAGCTAGTTCCAGGACAGGCTCCAAAGCTACAGAGAAACCCTGCCTCGAAAAACGAAAAAAGGTGAACATGAACAATCAATCAACCATAAACTGTGAAGTTAATAGGTAAATTTCACCTAAGGTGAAGCAGCACCTGAGTCAATACAACAGAATTCTGTTTTTCTGTCTCCATGCTGTGGCGGACACTAACCTGACAGAAGAACTGCGGCTGAGCTCCCGGTGTGTTGCTGAAAGTGCTGGTAGGTTTGGAAGAAGAGACGGGAAGACGATGGGGCACACTGACGGGTACCGAAGTCCTGTTTTGTTGTGTCAGCTGGTCTCCCGTAAAGTTTGATCCTGATGTCCCAGACTGCACTGCGGACCCAAGACTGGGATGCGCAGTGCTGGCTGAGCTGACAGCAGGGAACCGGGTAGACCCTGCCATGCTGGTCACCGAGGGCATGGCAGGAAAGCCTGGTCTTCCTTGGGAAGCGCTGCTCTGCCCCGGGGACAGGTGCAATACAGTTGGCGAGGACCGCTGCAAGGGCATCTGCCCTCCGGCCATCTGAGGGGACGCATGATTGACGATCACAGGACTGCCAGAGGTGGCAAAAGTCTGCCCAGACACCAGCTGCACGGCGGTGTTCTGGTTGTTAAGCATCTGTCCAGAGTACGGTTGGTTGGTCCTGAGCATGTTAGAAGAACTCCTATTCAACATGACATGCTCGGAGGCCACTTGGCCAGAGATGAGCTGCGAGGGCTGAGTCTGAAGAAGTTGCCCGTTTATGGTCTGGACATGGTGTACCGAGTTGGAGCTGACGGAAAGGCTTGTAGGTATAAGGAACTGACTTTGGGGGGTGTGAGGCTGGCCCATGGGGGAATGAATGACGATACTGCCCCCTGCACTACTCACGGCCTGGGAGGTGACAGGCTTCCTCGTGTTCTGTTGGTTGACAATGTTCACAGACATGTGTGGACCAACCACGGAGCCCTGGGGCGAGCTTGCAGAGGCGAAGGAGACCCCTTGCTGGACATGGTGCTGCTGAATTCCCAGGCTGTTCACATTGTACGTACTCTGCTGACCCATCTGGATCGGCTTTGGCTGGATATTAATTGGGACTTTATTTGAATTTGGTGCGAGACCCCTTTGAATAATGATGTTATGCACAGGTAAAGATGCCTGAAAATTTGTGCTGTTAAATGGAACGGTGACAGGCTGTGCTACCGGACTGGAAGTGGAGTTCCCAAACAACGAGTTGCCGTTAGGAGTCTGTCTGTGAACCAGAAGTCCTCCGCTCACATTGCTTGGGGTTTGCTGCCCACTGCCTTTTAATATGATCTGCGAGCCATCTAGATTATTAATTGTCATCATGGAAGGCTGATTACCAAATGACCCGATCAATTGTATTTGCCCAGAGCCGCCGATCTGGCTGCTGTTAGGCAAGTGCTGGCTGGGCACGCTGATGCCCACGTGCTGCATGAAGCCATGCTGCACGCCCACTGTATTGCTTGCAAACGACGGTCCCACAGGCACGTGTGTCACCCCGATAGGCTGCAGAGTCTGACCTGAGTAATTAGAAACGTTAGAAGCCTGAGTAAAGGATGCTGATGAAGAAGGATGAAGCTGAGCTTGTGCAAACTGCTGGCTTGAGCCTACACTGGCATCCAGGTATGCCTCTTGGGCCAGCGTCTGCTCAGTGATATTTGCCTCCTGCAAGGACTTCTGAAGAATGTCAAAGGGTTGGTCCTCGCCGAGATCAGGAAGAGGAGAAGACTCAAGTTCATCTTCAAGAAACTGAAGGCTACTTGAAAGTGGCAGTCCATCACTGGGTCCTTCTCCAAGCTGGTCACTTACACCTTTGAGGGACGACTTAGGGTCAGCATTCTGAAAAGCAGAAGCAATGTGTCACAAAACACATGGAACCTTCAGAAGCAAGCACACAAATCTCACGCAGGAATGAATGTAAATACAGCTTAATGAGAGAGGCGGTCAAGGTACACCACGTTTTCGTTTGCTGTCACTTTTAAACAGGTCTTACTCAGGCTGGCCTCGAACCGGCAGTTCTCCTGTAAGACCAACTCTCTCCAAACTGCCTGCCCTGTCTTTCCTATTTTACTTCGTTGCTTTGACAGATTATTTTATAGGGAACATATAAGAAGCAGGATGAGGTGTGGCAAATCACACTTGCAGTCTCAGAACCAAAGCTCAGGACTGCCAAGATTTGAGGTTAGCTTGGACTATGTTAGCAAGTGTGAGGCTAACTGGGGCTAAATTGTGAGACTGTCTCACACATAAAGAAAACCTGGTGGTGGCACAGGCCTTTAATCCCAGCACTCTGGAGGAAACTTCAAGGTCAACCTGACCCATACAGTGAGTTCCAGGTCAGCCAGGACTATAGAGTAAGACTCGCCTCAAAAACACAACAAAAACAGATGCAGACGCGTGGACAGAGATAACAACAAGACATCGTGGCCATCACCTTAATGTTTCTAAGCTACGGCATCATACTTTTCTTTCCGTTTTTTTTTTTTTAATTTTTTTACTTTTATTTTTTTTCTGTTTTTTTTTTTCAAGACAGAGTTGCTCTGTGTAGCCCTGGCTGTTTCTTTTTATTTATTTATTTATTTTTTAAAAATATTTATTTATTTATTTATTATGTATACAATATTCTTTCTGCGTGTATGCCTGAAGGCCAGAAGAGGGCACCAGACCTCCTCATTTCAGATGGTTATGAGCCACCATGTGGTTGCTGGGAATTGAACTCAGGACCTTTGGAAGAGCAGGCAATGCTCTTAACCGCTGAGCCATCTCTCCAGCCCCCTTTTTTTTTTTTAAGATTTATTTATTTATTATGTATACAACATTGTGCCTCGATGTATGCCTGCACGCCAGAGGAGGGCGCCAGATCTCAGTACAGATGGTTGTGAGCCACCATGTGGTTGCTGGGAATTGAGCTCAGGACCTCCGGAAGAGCTCAGTGCTCTTAACCTCTGAGCCATCTCTCCAGCCCACCCTGGCTGTTCTTGAACTCAGACATCCACCTGCCTCTGCCTAAGTGCTGGATTTAAGGAGTGCACCACTACACCCAGCTGGCTTTCTTTTTGGTGTGGGTGTGCTAAAGAGTGAACCTAGGACCTCATGGTATTATATGCAGTTCCAGGAAACTTTGTTTTTGAGATTATTCCCAGACTAAGACCTGAGTGGGACTTAGCCCCAGATCCCATGAAGATGGCAAAGGGGCTTGAGCAGCTCTGGTGTTGCTCTGCTTGCGGTCTAAGGTAAACAAGAAGATCAGACCAGACCAACGTTAGTTCAACGTGACATGGGTGCTGGCTTCATTTCCTGTAAATATTTACTTATCAACACTCAAGTAGTAAGCAAAATTATCTCAAACTAAAAACAAATGAACAAACAAAAACAAACCCAGTTAGCTCAAGTAAAAGCTGTCATTTTCCAGATATGTATGTTTGTGTTAGTTTTGTCCTCAAGGAACCCCTGGGAACAAGCAATCTACATAGAGATTGCAATGCAGACCCAGGAGGAGAAGCTGAAGACACTGACTATGGCCAGTCGTCTTCTGTGGGACAGATGGGGAAAAGCTGTGAGAGAATAGCCATTTAAATAAGAAAAAATATGAAATGCATACACACAGAGAGTTAAGACAGTAATTAATGTATTTATTCATGTTAATTTGCTGCTCTGGGGATGGAACCCAGGGCCTCACGCAAGTGCTCTATCACTGAGCTACCCCTCAGCTTTAGGAAGTAATCCTGCTGTGTGTACTATACTATAATACTAATACTAATACTAATAATAATAGAAAGTTAAAAAATAATTTGATCGGGCTGGAGACATGGCTCAGAGGTTAAGAGCACTGACTGCTCTTCCAGAGGACCTGGGTTCAATTCCCAGCATCCACATGGCAGCTCACAGCTGTCTGCAACTCCAGTTCCAGGTATCCAACACCCTCACACAGACAAATGTGCACATAAAATAAAAAATTAAATATTTTAAAAAAATAATTTGATCAAAAACAAGTATTCTTGGGTGTGATGGTGCACGCCTTTAATCCCAGTCCTTGGGAGGCAGAGGCTAGCAGATGTCTGTGAGTTCAAAGTCAGGCTGATTGACATAGCCAGTTCCAGGAAAGCCAGGACTGTGAATAGAGACCCTGTCTCAAACAAACAAGCAAACAAACAATAAAAAAAAAAGTATTTTGATTTGCAAAATGTTAACAATTCTGAGTCCTTGGCTAATGAGGTGTTAGGGGCCACCTCACAGGGAATCTTCACAAATCACGGGGGCAGCAAGTGAGAGCAACATCAAAGCCCAAGTGGAGCAGCGTGGCTGGCACCCGTGGCTCTAGCATGCAGAAGACGAAGGGCAGAGAACTGCTGAGGTCCTGCAGGAGCGCAGGATGAAATCAACCTCAGCCAAAAAGAGGGGTTGGGGTGTAGCTCAGTGGGGAGAGCGTGTGCCTAGCACACATGACGTCCTGGGTTGAATCCCTAGTACCACAGGAAAAATCAAAAGGTCACGTAGTCACAAGTCTTCCAGTACATGAGCTGTGAGGCCTTGTTGCCACCAGAGCGGGTCAAGGGGTCTTGCATGATGGCATCAGCTAATACCCCAAGAGACCTGAAGACCTGGGCATGCCCACAACTCTGCATGCCACCGGGGTTCTCTAGATGAGGGACAGAAAGACTGTGATGATGGAACAAGCCTGTCTGCTGACTACAGGGACCGCTGTGAGACAGTCTGTCACTGCGCTTTCCTACTGAGAAGAACAGGACCGAGGAGTGGCACAGGACAGACACGGGCAGTCTCACAGCACACCGTCACCTGGAGCAGAAGAATGGAATGGAAAAGACCAAGGTGATAAAGGTTAAACAGTGACTCCCCTTCTGTGCGTGTGTGTGGCGTGTAAACAGTGACTCCCCTTCTGTGTGTGTGTGTGCGTGGCGTGTGCAGCACAAAGGACACGTGGGCCAGGTGTGCATCAACAACAGAAGATGCCTGCTGTCCTGCTCTAGTGCCCTCTGCCTCACTGCCTTGAATGGGGGTCTCTCTCTGAAGCTGGAGCCCAGCTGGCACCAGGAAGTCTCAGCAACCCCAGCACTGGGGTTATTGGCACTTCTACAGCCAAGTCTGGCTTTTTCTGTGGGTCCTGGGGATTTGAACTCAGGTTCTTACTCTGGCACAGCATGCACTCTCACCTACTGAGCCGGCTCCCCAGGCTGCAAAACCCCTCAGTTCCCACCCTGTCGAAATTCTCCTAGAGCTTAACAGCATAGGCTCCAGCTATGGACTTCATAGCTGTGCAATTTTAGACCGAGTAAAAACCTCTCTGTGCCTTAGCCTCCTTGCCTACAAAACAGAACCAATGGTAAAACTTCTTCCTGGAGGTACTGTGAGCGTTCAGTGTAGTTCATACAAGTCCTCAGTGACAGGCACACGCTATACCCTCAATAAGCGTTAGTTATCACTGTCTTCTTGCTTCAGGTTAAAATTATTTGTAAGTAATTATAATGAAAAAGTGTCCTGAAGCTGCCATCCTACTATGCCTTGTTCATATACAACACCGGGGCCATTTCAGAGGCCTGAAAGTTTAGGAAACTGAAATGTAGGCCCAGAGAGACGGTTCTGGGGGTGAACTGCTGCCTCGCCTGAAGAACTGAGTTCGATCCCTGGGACCCACATGGCAGAATGAGAGAACCGACTCACGGTTGGTGTCCTTCTGATCTCTGCATGTACATATGGGCTCACGTATAACCTCTCCCCAATATACATACATAAAAAAATGTTAAAAAAAGAAATTGGTAAAAAAAAAAATAAAAGAAATTTGGTTATTATATAAGCCTGACTTATATAACCAAAGAAAACACTGACGTAATTAACAGATTTTTCCTCTCCTGTAAATTACAATGAGAGGGGATGATTTTTTTTTCTCTAATTTTCGAGACAGGATTTCTCTGTGTAGCTTTGTGTAGTCTGTCCTGGAACTCGCTCTGAAGACCATGCTGGCTTTGAACTCACAGAGATCCATCTGCCTCTGTCTCCCGAGTGCTGGGATTAAAGGCCTGCGCCACCACCGCTGGCCAAGGCACTGATTCTCTGAGACAGAAAGCTTTGGCTATTTCTAATACTCACCGTGGAGTTGGCGAAAATTGAATTTGAATTGGCTGCAGGATAGCCTGTGCTCGCCAGGTCGTCGCTGCTCTGCAGAGGGGAGAAGTCAACACGCTGGTTACTGGCAGGGCTGGAGGAACAGAAGCCATGTCTGTGAGACACTTGAGAGACACTTACTGATTTATTACTAGGTCCGTGCAGAAAATAATTCAATGCTTGTGGGTCTCTAGAACAGAAAGAAAAGGAGGGAAAACAAATAAATACTACTACTTATATTTAAATATGTTGTTGATAGCCGGGCGGTGGTGGTGCACGCCTTCAATCCCAGCACTCGGGAGGCAGAGGCAGGCGGATCTCTGTGAGTTCAAGACCAGCCTGGTCTACAGAGTTAGTTCCAGGACAGGCTCCAAAACCACAGAGAAACCCTGTCTCGAAAAACCAAAAAAAAAAAAAAAAAAAAAGAAGGAGAAGGCAAAAAACAAATGACATTTTTAGCTTTAGCAAATCTCCCTATTTTAAGTAATTTCTTCATTTATGCCTCCTGGAATCAACCTCTGCTTCAGCCCCCGGGACTGAACTCAGGACCTGGTTTGTGCAGGCGAGTCCTCTAGCTGTAAGAAACACCCAGACCTGGCATCTTGGGACTTAAAACAAAACGGGAGTAGATTACTGAATTAAGATGCATATGTGAAACTATCTGTTTTGCCCCTCTGCTATAACCACAATTAATTCTTATCTTTTATGTGAAAAGCCCAGGAGCTTTCAAAATCCCCATGGTACTGTTCTGTGCCTCACCCCCCCCCCCCCAGGGCCACCCTGGGTTCAGAGTCAGCATCTTACCCAATAAGATCGAGGAGACACGAGTCATCATCATCGTCCATGACAACTGCAAGGCAAGGGACAGGGTCAGTCTGAGGAGTGGGCGCCCGGCAGTGAGGACGCAGTCAGAGGAACCGGCACGCTGTGAACTTTCCTTTAGCCAACTAGCACTATGTCATTTGAAAAATGCTGGGGTCGGTGGGCCTTGTGCCAGGAGTCGCAGCTACTCAGATAAGACTGAGGAGACAGGGGAACTTGAGTTCAAGGCCAGCCTGGGCAACAACAAGACCCCAGCTCAGAAATAAATGAAAAGTAAACAAGCCAGCAAGTCAGGCATGGTGTACACCTGTGACCCCAGAAGCTGGGAAGTAGAGAAAGGATCAGGAGGTGAAGGCCAGCCTGGGCTACATGTGACCCTATCTCAAAAACAAAGCCAATAAAAATAAAGGTAAGATATATAAAATTTACAGTTACTTGAACAAGTTTTTGACTGAAATTGCTTTTTCTATAGTTTTCAACTTATGGGTAAAAGGAGTCTAGAAAAATCTAAGCTAGCTGGCAACGACCTTGCACGTGCGGCTTCCCTACCGGACTGTAAGGGATAAAGAATGACTCCATCAAGTGTAGAATGAACACGGTGGGAGGGCAAATTTGCTTTAGTAAAGCTCTCACAGACTCTTGAGTCTTTCCGTTTAGATGCTGCTAAACACGGAGCGCAATCTAGATTTCTCAACATATTTTGGTGATCTCTAGGAAGGCAGGAAGCAGCTTCTCCCCACTTTTGGAGACAGAACAAGAGGCCCTGTAGAGTGGACAGTGATACTGGCTCTGGCCATGGGGCCTGGGTGCTTCCCAGTGCAGCAACACTGTCTAGGTTCAATGCTGAATAATCCATAGCGGGGCTGAGAATGCTTAAAGCAGAAAATCTCCAGCAGTTCACTCCAGCCCAGAGCTCCCTCTCCCTGCCTGCAGCAGCCCCAAGCATGGCCAGCATAGCTCTGGCCCAGACAGTAACAACTGAACAAATTCCAGGAGCGGTTCTCCCCCGAGGGCCAGTCAACTTACACTAGTGATCCGACACCTGGCAACCCTGCTTCTCACCCATTTCAAGCCATGCGTGGAATAATTTACATCACAGAACGCCAGGGCCAAGAATTCTGGAGCGGTTGGAAAGGGCAGTTGTGAACGGCAGTTGGACGGAGGAATGAAATCCTGAAGAGATGCCCAGAGGAGGGGCATGCCCAGCCACAGCAGAGGAAGGAAGAGTCCTACAGGGAGTTTTTTCCCTGTTCAAACTCCCTTCTCCCTTTGGTTCCCCCAGATCAATCACACGGCCTCACAGAGGCAGATTTCCCTCCCGCCCCAGGGAAGGGTACTTTCTCTTTTCTGGAAGAGCACGGAAGGGTAAGTACTCCTGATGAGGGCCCTGCCTGGGTTTGCTGGGTTTGCTGGGTTGCTGGACTGATTACGCCAGCTGAGCAGAACCCAGGGTGAGGAGAGTGAGAGGGAAGAAGGAAGGAAGGAGAGTGGGAGATCTGTCCTGGAGTTCAGCGCCGATGGCTGAAACTAACAACAGCCATGGGAAACGGGCTCTTTAGCACCCGGGCTCAAGTTATTTGAGGTCACGCTGGCACGAATGTTCCTGAACACACGACTTCTGGAAACAGGAAAACTATCATCAAAGGGATATGCCAGTCTGGCACACGAGCCAGGCATGGTGGCACACATCGGTATTCTCAGCACTTGGCAGGCAGAGGCAGCAGACGTAAAGCAAGCTGAAGGACAACCTGGTCTACTTAATGAATACCAGGACAGCCACGGCTGCATAAAAACCACAAAACAGAAAACATACACACCAAAGAGATCCATAATACATCCTGACATCAAACATGCATCAGCTCATATCATAAACCACACCTCATTTCCCAGACATCACTACCACATGGAATAAACTGTCCAATTATTTTATTATCCTTGTGTTTAGTTTTTTTGTTTGTTTTGAGACAGATCTCTCACTGTATCCCTGGCTGATTTAGAACTCAATATGTAGACCAGGTTGGCCTCGAACTCCGCTTGGCCTTCGCCTCAGAGTGCTGAGGTTAAATACATATCACGTATAGTTCTTCTAAACTTAATCTGTAAAGCTGAGAACAGGCCTCAGTGGAACAGCACATGAGAAGCACACGAGATGCTAAGGTTTGTTCTTAGCATCACAAAAAAATGAAGTGTCTAAGGCTCTGTCTGTACAAATGCAAACTGTGAATGAGAGGGCTGAGAGACGGCTCAGCTGGCAAGAGTTTTATTCTTGACACCCACATAACAAGCTGGACATGGTGGCACACTCCAGGTCCCAGTGAGAGACCCTGTCTCAAAAAATAAAGTGGACGACTACACACACACACACACATACAGTATGAGAAAAACCTACCTCCCCAAAGCATGTCCATCCCTTTCCCAGTTTCTCTGCCTCCCTGTTGACACCCTTATCCAGCTCCTCTACTTGAAAGACACTGTGTGGGTAACTTGGTCCTAAGGTGAACCATAGGGGTCACTCCCACCAGCACCAGGAGCACAAGCTGATAATCGGGATGAAACCAGGGGATCTCAAATGTGCTGAGTAAGCACCCTACCCCAGCTCATTGTATATTCTCCCTTACCAAACCAATGGGGTTCATCAAACACTGCCAAGCAGGCAGGCAGCCTCTCTGGCTCACCCTGTGGATAGAATGCTATGAGCCTTCACAGCCAGGGAACCCTGAGAATTCTACTGTGTAAAGGTCAGTGGCTGGGAACAGTGGCCCACACCTGTGCTCCCAGCACTTTCAAGGCAGACTCAGGTGGATCTCTGTGAGTTCAAGGCCAGTCTGAGCATCACAGAGATCCTATCTCAAACAATGCAAAAGAAGGGCTTGAGGGACGTCTCAGTGGGTTGAGGCATCTGTCCCAAGCCTGGTGGCCTGAGTTTGATTCACACAACACACAAAGGTGGAAGGGAGAGCTGACTCCATGCAGCTGTCCTCTGACTTTTCTGTGCACTCCCCAAATAAAAACAAAACAGAGCTTTTTCCCAACAGAAGATTTATATGTATGAATGTTTCCCTACAAGTATACCTGCATGTGTACCACATGTGTGCATGATTCCTGGACAACCAGAAGAGGATGTTGGATTCCTTGGAACTGAAATTAAAGATTTTTTAAAAAAATAATTTATTTTTATTTTATTTGCATTGGTGTTTTGCCTCCATGTATGTCTGTGTGAAGGTGTCAGATTATGGAGTTACAGACAGTTGTTACCCGCCATGTGGGGTCTGGGCATTGAACTCTGGTCCTCTGGAAGAGCAGTCTGTGTTCTTAATTGCTAAACCATCTCTCCAGCCCCCGACAGACGGTTTTGAGTTGTCATGTAAGTGCTAGGAATTGAACCTGGGCCCTCTGAAAGAGCAGCGAGCACTCTTGAGTGCTGAACCATCTCTCTAGCTCCCCAACTAAATTTTTTTTATGTGCATTGGTGTTTTGCCATGGGTGTCAGATCTCCTGGAACTGGAGTTACAGACAGCTGTGAGCTGCCACATAGGTGCTGGGAATTGAACATAGGTCCTCTGGAAGAGTAGTCAATGCTCTTAACCACTGAGCCATCTCTCCAGCCCCACCCCCAATTTAATTTTTTAATTAGTGAATGTATTTTTTTAAAGATTTATTTATTATGTATACAATATTCTCAGTACTCTGCCTACATGTATGCCTGCAGGCCAGAAGAGGGCACCAGATCTCATTATAGATGTCTGTGAGCCACCATGTGGTTGCTGGGAATTGAACTCGGGACCTTTTTGGAAGAGCAGGCAGTGCTCTTAACCACTGAGCCATCTCTCCAGCTCGTGAATGTATTTGTTTAGTATTGTGTATGTATAGTGTGTGCATGCCATGACTTATGTGTGGTTCTTGCCTCCCACCATGTGAATCAAGGGATCAAACATCAGGCTTATCAGAAGGGCCTTGACCCATTGAGCCACCCACCCCAGGACCAGCCGCTGGGCTCACTCCCTTTGGATTCTTCCTTGGCTTCTGTACTTCTGTTGAGGTCTTTCCTCCCGTGTGTACGGCCCCACTGTGACAGGACGGGCCGCTGACACCATGTGAATTCTGTAAGACTGTGTTGTGTGAAAGATGGAACCATCTCTAGGGGAGACTCCCAGACCACTGACTGGAGACTCTTTCTTAGCCCAGGACAGGTGACAGGGCACGACAAAGTCTCGGTGACAGCAGCTCTAAGTGGCAGGACTGGTCCTAGGAGGAAGCAGGGAGGGGGAGGCAGAGGCAGAGGCAGAGGCAGAAGCTCTTACAAAGTTGGCTACATAACAAGTTTAAGGTCAGCCTGGCTACCAGAGGCTCAGTCTCAAAACAACAGCAAAGCAGCATTTCAAGCCCACTAGCGAGTGCACCAGACCCACGAGTTTCAAGCCCACTAGCGAGTGCACCAGACCCACGAGTTTCAAGCCCACTAGCGAGTGCACCAGACTCGCGTGTTTTAAGTCCACTAGCGAGCACACCAGACCCATGAGTTTCAAACCCACTAGCAAGCACACCAGACCCGCGAGTTTCAAGTCCACTAGTGGAGCGCACCAGACCCGTGTGCTTGAGAGTCTATCTAATGGCAGTCAAACAGTATTTAACCTTGGAAGGCTACAAATTTCAACTTCTTCACCAGGTGAACTTTGTAAAGATGAGTGGAACTGTTTCCCTCCCTTATCTTACTCTGCCTGGTGATGTTTTTTGATTTTTTTGTTTTGTTTTGTTTTTTTGGTGACAGGGTCTCAGGCTGCCCTGGCTGTCTTTGAATTTGCCATGGAGCCAAGGTGAATCTGAACTCCTGGTCTTCCTGACTCCACCTCAAGCCACCACACCCAGTTCTCTTTTCCTCCTTCCAAAAATACATCGTAAAGATGGTGACATCAAAAGACCACCACAGAGCCAGCACAGCAGGCTAGCCCGTCAAAGCAGGGAGTTCAGTTCCCTGGCTCACCTCTGGCACTGCCTGAATGGCAGCAGGTGGCACCACTGAGAGACCTT